TTTGTATAGTTACAGTGGTGCATTACAATGATAAGATAGTTTCAAAATGACTTTACAAGAAATTTTTCTTTTATTATATCTTTTCGTTTTTATTATATTATCTTCATTCTGTTCTTCATTCTGTTCTGTTTTATATTTAACATCTCTTTCGTATTCCTTTTCGCGGAATCAGCTGATCATATATTTACATAACAAAATATAATGAGGTTAGTGTTAGTGTTATGAAAATTATGTTTGGTTATCTATCATCGGTAGATTCAACGAGTGGCATTCAACTAATTTCGTAAGTATTATTGAAATTTTGAGGACATATACATACATCATATTATTTTTTTTCTTGTTTAATATATAAATTTTATTATTTTTTCGGAATTAATTTTTATATCAATTATGTATCATATTAATGTTAAAATTTTATTTTACCAAATCAATTATTGAGTTATATCATGAATTCAAATTGGTGCCAAAAGTTTCCAGCCAAACTATAAATCTATTTTAAAAAAAGTAATAATAAAATTTTTATTATTAATAATAAAATTCCTTTCATGAAAAATTTGATAATACGAGTTTTATAAGTCATTTTATAAGTTATACTATTATGTTTATTATTTTATTTTTTAAAAATTCATTATTTCAATAATGTAATAATATTATACTGTAATTGGAAACTTCTAGCAGCCATTGCATATTGTGGTTTATATATTTTCATGAATATTGAAACGTGACTCATATATTATATTAAAAATTCATATACATCAATTGGAATTCAAATTTCAAATTTCAAATTTTTAAACTTGATATTTTTGATTTTTATTTTTATTAAAATTTTTCTTTTAGTTAAATTTCTTTTATAAATCATATATTTTGTGTCCTTTAAAAGTTTTTTGTATTATAAAGTTTTAAAAATTGTTTAAATAATGAGATTTTTTATTGTTTAACAATTTTAATTTATTAAATTCAAGTTTTACATAAAATGTACTTATGAAGTTCCTCGTAGCTTTGTAATCTACATAAAGCAATACATGAATTTAATAAAACATTAATAATATTTAATTAACAAGTAAGATATTTGTATTTTGATGTGAACTATAAAATTTTAAAATTAACTGCCATGCTACTCATATTTGATCAGTTTATTTCATGTTTAAAGAAAATCGAAATATTAGAAAGAAATTTTAATATTTCAATTAAATAATAACTATTAAAATATTAATAAATTAATTTGTATAATGCTATATAATGATAGATTCAAAATAAAAATAAAGGAATATTTTATAAGTAGTTGCAGTTGTACAATTATACAAATATGTAAGTAGTATGTAATTTTTCTCAAAGGCAGACATATATAGTGGGCCAAAAATCATGATGCAGTGAACAAATGGGATAAATTCAAAGAAAGAAAAAGATAAAAAAAGAAAAAATATAATTCAAAAATTGAATTTTAGAGATACATTATACATTATTTAATAATCCATTTGATTAATAATAAAAAATAAGAAAATTATCCTGTTTTTCATTGTACCAAGATTTCAAAATAAATATTCTCTGTATTCAAAAGATGGAAGTTCTTCATTTATCCGCAGGAATTATCTGTGAAATATAGTGCCTTTTTAGCCACTTACAGTTAGAGCAAGAAATTATTAATAATGTAACACGCATAGTGCAACGATTAATAATTATTAAAAGCACTTTGCGTCTTTTCGATGATATTGCAAAATCTAAAAATAAATATTGAATATTGCTGTTTACTCTTTGTTTTAGCGAATAATTTTTATGCAAGGCAAAGTACTATTCTTTGTCTTCCTGCTTATAATTAAAAATTACAAAATAGCGCTGAAGATTAAGCAAAGTGTTCGAAAAATGAATCATATTAGATTTTATGCAACCATCTGATAAAAGTTCTGTCAAAATTTAAAAATCTTTGATAACATATTTAGAAAATACAAATTTTACATTTCACTGTTCGAAATGATTAAGAAATTAACGATTAATAATTTTTAATAAATTAAAATTATATAAACAATTCTTTTTTACATTTTTAATAACTAAAAAATTAATAGTATTTATATTACTTGAATAGAATACATTTTTTGGTATATGTAATTTTTTGATCGTTTCGAGCAGTAAATATTATAGCAATTAATACTGCAACTAATACATATTAACAATACACATTAATAATACAAATTTAAATGAGCTTTGTGCTCTTTTCTTTTCTTAATAAAGTCGATCATACAATAATTCTAGTGCCTTACACGAAAAGTCTTTTATTTCGAAAGAAATAGCTACAACAAATAAAGTCTTTTTCATAATTAAATCACTATCACGATAATAAAATTTTTTTTTAATAAATTTTCAGAACTTAAAAAATTTTTTTAAAATTAGCAATACAATAGCGTCTTTCTAGTCAATATATAATAATTTCGGAAACAGATATCCCTATTTAAATATTAGGATATCTGCTCATATATAAATGTGATCATTGATTTTAATTAAAAAAATAAATTATTTGGAAGAGTCTCTGAAAAATAATGAATAATTAATGTTAAATTTCACAATTAAAATTTTATATATATTTAATCAAAATAATTATTCAAAGCAATACAGCAATAATTTATAGAAATTATTTAAATTAATAATTATTTATTATATTTTTATTTTATTATATTATATGAAAAATTTGCAAATCTGCAAGAAATCTAATATTTTAAAAAATTTCTATTTTTAAAAAGACTCTTCAAATTTAATTTAGATTAAAAATTAATTACGTAAAAAAATTAAGAATTGAAAGATAATTCTTGAGTGATTTTTCGAATAAAAACATGCATTTGATAAGGAGAAAAAAGATTTTGTAAATAATTTTGCTTTGCTTTATCAATAATTTTTTGCTTCACGAATCTCATTGCGATAATTCTATTATAATTAAGATAAGATGTATAATACATAATGTAAATAAGAAATAACAGTAGGTCCAAATAATTAACTAACATTTAATTAAAAAACCTTGAATGATGAAGATTTTAATTGATGAATCGAACCAAAATTATTAAAAATATTATTATCGATAAAAATATAGAATTTTGCAACTTTTATGGAATGAAATTTCAAGGTTTTTACTAAATAATTTCAATGTGTCTTACTTAATGCTACGATGTAAAAAGCATAATGTATATATATTTCCATATATTTGTTGTCTGTGTAAAAGAAATATTTAACAGATTGTTAAAAAGAACATAAAGTATTATTTAAAATGATACATCGCAAACTTATTGATATTGAGGCAAATGACATAGATTACGACGCATTACATTTTTAATGGCAATTTAATGTTTTTGAAACATTTTAACGGAATTGAAAATCACAATAGAATAAAGTGTCTTTAATATATGTATAAAATTTTTAAAAATCACGAAATTATGAACATTTTACAATTTTTCTTTAATCAATGGAAGGATCGATCAAGTGATATAAATATTGTATATAGATACGACAAATGCGTCTTGAACATTTATGAAGCGTTTAAATGTAAATGTAAAAAAGTAATAAAAAGTGTTCTATATATGCAGTATTGCATATAAAAAAATGATTTTTTCACAAATCATCTCGAAATTTTATAAGAGGTAATAAAAATTGTTTCACTATGTGAAAAATTTCACTACATATTATTTTTTTTTAGAAGAAATCATTTCAGTTTAATGCAAACTACTTATTTTGGAACATTCTGTATAGATATACGATTGCGCCGATGACCAGCAATGTTATTATTATTACTTACAAATAAAAGAGATAGTAACAAGAACTATAATTAGTAGATATGTAATAAAGAGTAATAAAAATATTGATTAAGAGCGACAATGTAAAAAATATAAACAATGATATTATAGTCACCTCTTCTGAGAACTCGTATTAATGCTATTTTCAATATGTAATTGTATTTAGTACTGGGCAGAATAATCATACTTATGGCGATGATTATGTATACCGAAATGCTACAAAGTTCTCGCCTTTCATTTTTACAAAAGAAAGAAATATATGAAGCTGCAAATTTTTACGTGACTTCGTTACTTACTTTACCTTTCGATTGAAAACAATATAATAACAATAATATATATTAAAATTTTTTCTTAGGAATAAAACATTATTTTTTTTATTTTGTGAATATATAAATATATCATAAGTATATAGGAAAATTGGAAGAATAATATAAAGACAATAAAAAATAATTTTTTTAAAAAATTTTTTATTCTTTTGTATGTATAATTTGAATTTTTCATTTATTCATACAATACATTCATATTTACACGATCAAAAAATATTTTACATATCTGATTTATGCATCCATATCATGCATACGTACAATAATGTTTCATTTACAAAACAAATAGAGAAAATAATTATAAATCTCTTTTTAGAAAATAATTATAAATTTCTTATAACGAAAATTTTGAATTTAAAAATTTAGATTTAAACAAGAATTTTAAATTCCTATTAGATATACTAAAAAAATTTTATTATAAATTTATAAAAATAAAATTTGTTAAATTATAAAACTGATATTTAATTAAAATTTATAAATTAATATTTATCTAATTTTTTAAATAAATAATTTTCATTTTTTTCAATTCGAACAATTATAAATTTTTAAAACATTTATAAATTTAAAATTTTTAATAGAATAATTTTTATATTTCTTATAAAGAAATGACCATGATAAATGATTAATAACACATATATAATATAATATAATACTAACAAATAATATGATCGTAAATATATTTATGCATTATCTAATACTTAATAATGAATTGATAAAATACTATTCATATGATCTAATTCACATAGTTATTGAAATATATATGTAAATAATGTTCATGTACATAAATTGTGAAATTCTATATGAATTCAAGGAAAGACAATTCAATATTCCTTCCATAAAATAGCTATTATTTATTTTTTTATATAAACTGTCTTTCATTGATGTTTATAAAAATACTGACTTTTTGAATGATATAATTTATTAATAATAATAAAATATGGAATGATTAAATGTCATACGTTATAATAATAAGCGTAATCTCTATTCTTGTTTTTTCCGTTCTCCTACCAGAAAATATTCAACTTCTTTTCTTTGAGAGAAGTAATGCTAATAATCCTCCAACTGAAAATTAATCGAATTAAATAATTAATTTTGTTGAATTACCATTTTTCATGAATATAAAATAAATGCAAGTTTTAAAAATTTAAGAGATTATACATCGAATGCAACAAAAAAATTTTATTTTCCACTATTTATTATCAACGTTAACGAATAAAATAATAAAATAATTAAAAAAAAACTTACGGATCACTATGCTACCGACTAAAAATATTGGCACCTCGCAACTGATGTCGAGCAACATTCCAAAAGTTAAATTACTAGCTATGGCGCCGATTCTTCCGAAACAGGTCATCATACAAATCGCAACAGCGCCTACATGCGTTGGAAATATGTCAACTACTATACTGCTAATGACGAAATTCGCTGTGCCTATCATCAATGAGAACATGCAGCTCACCATGAGAATTTGCAGGGAAGATTGGACAAAATATATCGCAAAACCGAAAATACCAGCTAACAACATGGTTGTTACTACAAAAAGAAATATTGAAATATATTAATATATAGAAATATTAAAAATTATTTTATTTTCATTAAATCAATTTAAAGTTACCTGGAATCGTTCGTCGACCAACACGGTTTGCCAAAAAACCGGACATGATGTTGCCCAATAAGCAAAATGCATTAATCGTCAATGAATTGATAAAAACCATTTGGTCCATGTTAGGAGAACAATTATCCACGTCGGTTGAATTAATTAAAACATTTTTCACAGTTTGTAGATCAGTCTCGTGGATCAATTTACAAACGCTTACACTTTGTTCCGGAAATAATTTATGATAATTTTCGAAACGATTAAACAATTCTGGCAACCATAAACCGAATCCATAATAACTGTAAAGAATAATTAACATTATATTAATATAAAATAAAATAAATTGATCAAAGAAAAAAAGTATATAACATATATTTCCATTATTAAAATTATATATAAAATATTAAAAGTATTTTATTCATACACATATGTTATAGTTGTTAGTAAACTAGAATTTAATTAAGACATGACAAGATTGTATCTGTAAGAAGAATTGAATATGATTTATGAATAACTTACCCGAACATATTTGCGAAGTAAATGGTCCAACAGAGAAGTGCATATTTCAAAAGTGGTGGTGATGCAAGCGAACGTGCTTGTTGCCAAATATTTTTCAATAATTCCATTAATATTCTAGACGCGGAGAATGATGTTTTACGATTATTAATATTCAACGTATCGTCAGATAATAAGATTTTTATCTGTAATGTACACGAACAAATATACATCATTAATAATAATATTTAAAATTTATTTTCATAGTTTGATACTTTATAGTATCAAGCCAATCTTAACCAAGATCGAAAATATATGAATTAATATATTTTATAACTTTTAAATTTTATTGATGACATTTTCTTTTTTTTTTTTTTATCATTAATATTTATTATATGTTATATGCTTACTGGATATTCATCCTCGTCACAATTACTGTTTATCGCGTAGATTTTTCGTAAAATCGTCAGTGCTTCCTCCGTTTTTCCCTGAGAGACCAAAAATTTTGGACTCTCAGGATATCTGCTTGCAACAAAAGCTACCATTAGCGTTGGTATTCCAATAACGGCCAAGAAAAGTCGCCAAGAATTATATAATATTCCGTTGAATTGAAAGGACATTGGCAGTGGTATAATGATCCAAGCCAAACCTAATAAATCGAAATTGGAAATGCCTTTACTATTTTAGTAATTTTTATGCTTATTATTTTATTTTAATTAAATATTATTATTGTGAAATCATAATAAAAAATTTATCAATGTATCTTTCAATTATATTTAGAAAGTTATTGATAAATAAATTTGACGTTAAACTTTTAAAACAAGATATAAAATGTAATTGATATAATCTTTAATAAGTAAAAATGATAATTTTAATAAAAAAATAAAAAAATAGTTTACCGGGTAATATTAACCATGATAAAGTCCAAAAGAATCCAACGTAACAAATTGCTTTTGCTCTTTGTTTCTGTGCATGAAATTCGCCAAGATACGTATAGACTAGAGATCCAGGAGCACCGATACTGAGATGAAAAAAATAATTATTAAAAAAATGAATAATTCATGTATTATGTATAATATCATGAATAAAAAAATGACTGCAACGAAGCATATAATAACTTACAAAAATCCATTGAGACCTCTAAAAATTAACAGCACTTTAAAACTTTGAGAGAAACTTCCTCCAATTGATAAAATACTGTCGCTTAATAAAGTAAGGAGAAGAATATATCTCCTTCCGTAGGCATCTGCGAATATTCCCCAGAAAAGGGAACTTATAACTCCTCCTAATAAAAGAAAATGTTATAATATATATGTTAAAAATACGTATTACAATATATTTAAATATTAAATATTGAATAAATATTAAGTATTTCAATAATTTATTATTTAATTTGTTTTTTTGTTTAATTTACATTATTTCTTAATTTTTTTTAATTTTGTATATATTATTTAAAAAGATATAATTAACTTAACTTATTTCTTTCTATTATTTTTTTTATTTTTAATAATATTTTTTATTAATATTTTAAACAATAACAAAATTTATCTTCTATAGATACTGTACCTAAGGGAAAAACTAATCAACTTTAATCGCACAAGTTACGAGTGGGATGTTATATAAAAAGTACTCCTCAACTTTCTTAATGAAATAAGTGCTATCAAACGTGTCTAACATATTGCAATAAATGTGCACAGACAATTGGTTATAGTAGTGTTTTTGTTATTTCCAAGATATAATTTATTTTTTTTTTTTATTTTTGATTTTTCTTCGCTTGTATTTAATATTTGTATTTTATATTACTTTAGATAATATGATTTTATATTAAATCTCTATAAATTCTTAAATAGATAGATACACTTTACCTAAGAGAAAGGAGACGTTCAGAAGACCTTTTTGTTCAGAAGTCAAATTAAGATCACATTCTGCGGATGGTAAGATATATGCGTTTATACCGTTTTGGCAACCAACACAGAGGAACATTGCTCCGCAGAGAAGTAGAAAGCCATAGTGAAATCTTCCGTACCCTAAAATTATATATAAAAATATTATAAAGAGATACAATAGCATGTAAAAATTTTATTATTCCATTATTTACATTGTATAGTTAATTTATTGCTTAAGTGCTTAAGAAACGACAAAGATAATATAAATTTTGTTTTCAGACGATAATCTTTGCATAAATTATTTCAAGTACTATTACAACCAAATTTAAGGATCCAAGAAATAACAATGGATCATAGTCGTATACTTAAACTTTTATGAAGTTCTGGAAGATTTCTTAAGTAGCGAAAATAATGGAACAAATTTTGTCTTCTTCTTGGATCCTAAATAGTAATCGCAGATAATAATCTTCAAAAAGAATAGTTCGATATCCAATAAAATATCGACTTTTAATTTTATAATTTTACTTTCTCTCATAAATTTTGAGTTTGAGAAATTGATAATTCATAACGAGTCATGATAATTTGATAATTCATAAAGTTGATAATTCATAAAGATAAAAGTTGATAGAATAAAAAATTATTCATAAAAATAAATAATTCTCATTATATGAGAGATGATACAACATTAATTCTTACCACACATTTTGATTGCTTTTTCGAAATCTGCAGCTCCTTCTTTGCCTCCATTATTCTCTGAAAAAGAATAACCAGATGTTACTTAGGTATTTATATTTATATATAATAAATTTAATTTTTGTTGCTTTTTTTATTTTTTCGATATAAATTAATTAAATGCACAAAGTTTTGAAATTAAAAATAATACATTTAATTGTTTTTTTTTTTTTTGATTAATAAATATATTCCTTGAAAATATCGAGTACATATGTATCATGTCATTGTTATAGTAATCATTTTCATAATAACGTTACATAAACTTACAATTTATTATTATATGAAAATTTTATGATCTTGAAAATTTTTTTAACTTAACTGGTTTTTTAAATTCACAAAACTTATTTAATAATTACATATACGTACTATTGTATTTCATTACTTGATTATTTATATTAATTATTCATTATATATAATAATTATGTAATAATTGATTTTTCTTACGAATCATGATAACATGATTTATGTAATTCATTATTATATTGTTAATTGTATAAGTTAAAATATTAGTAGAATTCTCGACATTCTATAGGGTCGTTTTTAATTATTATTAGCACAATCAAGATAGACACCAGCAATTAATGATAAATGCGATAAGTGAAGTTTATTGAATTTGTCTTTACAAAAGATCGGCATAACTTTAATTATAAAAATATCCGTAAGAAGCAAAAATAATATATAATTTATTACATATTTAAAAAATATTATTATAATTTTAAAAAATTAAAAAAATAATCTAAAATAGATCAAAATAATTTTATCAACATAATAATATAAAATTCACATTTTATGTAAATTTATCGAGATAAATATATGAATCAATGAGATTATGTTATATTTAATATACAATAAATTATAAAAATAATCATAAAAAGATTGTCTAAAATAATAATATGATCCCTTGCTTAGAAATCGAGCTAAATATCATAAATGAAAACATATATATACATTTAATAAATCACAATCTTTATAAATAATTAGTAAGTAATATTAAATAATTATAAGTTTATTCTGTGTATATAAATAATTTTTTGTAAATTATTTTTATTTTACTTGAAATTTGACATTTCGGTTGATGAAGGAAAAATATATTATTGAATTTATTATGAAAGAATATTACGAACAGATTATCAGCTCAGGGCGTTGGCATAATCACGCGTGCTTTTCCATTCATACAAGTTTCTATTTACTCGTGCTTTTCTATACGAGACAAATCATTTGCATTATAACTTGTGTCTAAATATAATATAAAATTTCATTTCGCAAACATTTAATTTCAACTGAAAAATGGGTGACATGATTGCATTAGGATTTCCATATTAAAAGATTTTTTAATTGCTCTATTGTGATAATAATAATAAATCACGTAATAATAAATCACGTTGCAAATCATGTAAAAACAATGATTTCAATCTCTGTTACAAAAATGAATATAAGCATTCGTTTATCGTGAATTTACATTAATGATCAATTAAGATTTCATTTTCATTAAGATAATATTATTATATTATTTTAGATATTATATAAATTATTTTATATTATAGATTATTATAATTTGTAGTATTTACACAGAAAAAAATTTTAAGAAATTTATAATTATTTTTAGAATTCTTAGAATTATTTAATTTTTTTCTAATTTATAAATTTTCTTTATTTTTAAATATAGAAATATATTTTTTCTGTATTAATAAGAATTAAGAACTTGAAAATATATAATAAAATTAAAAATAAAAAAAAAAGAATATTACAAATAGTTTGAATTATTTAAATATTAAATATTTAAATATTTAGAATTATAAATTAATTTAGTTCGAAGAATTAATATTAAATAGAACATTCGAAAAATGTGTTCCTTTATTCGTGTATTCTTTAAACAAATATCAATTATATAGTTTAAAATCGAATTAACGAAATAATGTTAATCATTTGATTACTGACATTAACAATAGGTAAAAATGTAATTAAACAAATAATTAATATTTTATCCATTATAAAACTATTGTAGAAGATAAATTATGCAGATCCATTCTACATATTTATTAAACAAACAATGTTCGAACCGAAATTGCGATAACAAAGATGAAAGGAAGTAATTATCGTAACCTAGAGAATAATTATTTTCATGATGTTTTATTCGATCGTTCTTCTATACGGGTATATAATCGTATATAATTGTTTTTCTATACTGACATAAAAATGTTTTCATGAACAGAAACCAATTTGATTTTTTAAGAAAATGAAATATAGTGATGACATATGCGTTTATGTTAATTTTTAATTTTTAATTTTTAACATATATCATACTTCTATTTGAATAATAGTAATAAAAATATATAAATAATAAATAATATAATGATAATAAAAATTCAATTTTATGATAAATTATTTCACAGTTTCTTTACAGAACGATAAAAGTGAATTATAAAAATATATATATAATATATAAATTTATTAAAATAATTATAATTTTTGCTATTATAATTTAATGTAATGTAACAGTCAATAAACTCGCACGATTCTGATAATATTTCCATCAACGAAACACGTACGAAAATGTCGTTGACGTAGAAAAATGACAATTGAATCATTGACGTAGAAAACCAGGTATATCACAAGATACAATACATCTAATATGATTGTTTTTTAATTCGATTATCATTCTACTGTTTAATAATAATATGCATGAAGAGAAATTGACGTAAAAGGACACTATATTTTTAAAAAGCACGTTCACACATATTTTTCGTTATTATTAGGTGAATTCGCTGAGACACAACTTTTTGATCGAGAGACGTTTGGCAATTTCGAATGCATCAATAAAATTAAATAAAATTAGGTCAATCAAAATTTATTCTTTATAAAAAAAAAAAAAAAAAATTACAGACTTCTTGATGAAATAATTTTGTAAGTAATCTTATGCAATTTATAAATCATATCACAAGAACAATAAAATTTTAATATCGATATATGTTTAATGGGAACTTCTCGTCAATATGTTTAATGAAACTTTTTGATATACCATTATGTTATTTCTAGATAAGATCTTTATTTCATTATTTATTAATGAGTATATTATTTTTATTAAATGAAAAGATAAAATTAATTGTAAATGTTTTTACATGCTTTAAGTAATTTTCTTTCTTCAATTGGATATACATTATTATTATTTGATCCATTTTTAATATCTTTATACCTTCATGTTACTTGAAAGAATTACAGATAATAAATATTTTTTTGAACGAACTATTCGATTTATATAATTAAATTTGATGATATTGAAAATTTTGAACACAAAAATAATCCAGTCACACTTACCCTATAATGATTTGAAATTTTCAAATATATGGCATATTCAAATTAATTGATATTTTAAATGTAAATAAACATGATGAAATCCTATAAATGTTTAGATTTTCGACATCTTATAAATAATATTAATTTTTCAATCAATGGTCTCAATATTATTAATATGATTATTTTCATTCGGAAAATAAATAAAGATACTTTTTATATATGAAGAAAAATTGTTACTTATAAAGTAAATTTCATATTAATTTTTAAAAAAAAAAATATTTCAAAAAGTTATTCTTCAAAACAACTTCTATAGTTTTTTGTTTTGATTTTGATACTTCTTACAATACGTTACGAATATATTGGCTTAGCTCCAATAAAATACATATAAACTAGAATTGAAAATGACTCCTAAGTTCTAATTAAATCTAAAAATATCATTTCAAATGTTATGTGTTGAAAGAAAGAAATATATAATTGATGAATGAAACCACTGCTTTCGCGAAATATATATATATATACATATATATTTTAAATTATTTTTTATTCAACATTATTAATATTATCTCAATTATATTCTTTGAAATTCTGATTGAAACATCATTTTAAATATTTATGATAATACCATAGAATCATCTTAATATAGATTTCGAAAAAGAAAAACTAAATCCATTTTATAATATTAAAAAATAGAAACATGGAAATTAACAATTACAACTTTTAAATTATTAAAATTTCTTCAAAGACTATATTAAATTACATTGAATATTGAACATTTCATATTTTTTTTTAATATCATATTTTTACTTTCATATGTCTTATGAGGAAAAATATATGAATGAAAAAAATATCTAGCAATATTAAAAATAAAATAATAAAAAGTAACATAACATTGTACTCACCAATGCCAGAGAACGACAAAGAATTAATACTGTTAACCATAGCGATCACGTTTCACAACAGTATGGACACTCGTCTTGCTTTCCGTTAAATGTCCGAGCAAAGACTGTTGGTTGATGGAAAGCAGGCAGAAACTTGTCTGTTTGTCAGTCAATGCTCATGGAAAACGTCCCCGCGATCCATGTTCGTGTCGCTTTAAATATTGCCATGCGCTTGCACGATCGGCCACCAATGAACGACAGTTCCGATTCGTCGAATCGAAAATCGCCTTCCCTACTTTTCCCGCCGACGAATACCCACGTGCGAAAATGATTTTCCAATTGTTTGTATTGGTTGTTCGTAACACGAATGACGCACACATCTTTTCGAGATTTCAACTTTGAAATTCTTCATTTATATACGCAAATATGTGATTTAGGATATGCGTAAACGTAAAAAATTATATAGTTACTTTTCCGAAACGGAAGTTATATAAATTTTGTTTCTTTCTTTTCCTTTCTCTTTTTCAACGATTATTAAAAGTAGAGGTTATTAGTTAGTTTTTCTTTTAAGCGAAAAAAAAACTAAAGGAAATTTTTCCTGGAAAACTTGTACAATATAATAAAGAATTTGATATATTATGTAAAATATATGTTGGAATAAATTTCGAATTCGAATTTTCTTCAAATAAATAAGTTAATAAATGAAATTAATTTTGTTTGTTCAATATTTTTTCTTATAATAGAATTTAACATTTAATTATTTTTTTCTAAACTTGAATAAATTTCATTTGAAATAAGAATAAAAATTATTTATTTATTATTATATTATTTATTTTATTTATTATTTTTATTTATTATTTTAATTTTAATTTCTTTACTAATTTTACTTTAGAAATAAAAAGTAATTTTTGTTTTTTTTAAATAAATCAAAACTTTCTTGAAATAATTTTTTATTTCACTTCATTTATTAAAACAATTTCACAACTTTTTTTAATTGTGTGCGTGAAACTGAGTAAAATTTTTATTTCTGACGTAGTTGATAATTGATAGAATCGAAAATTATTTAAGAAATTATTATTTCAAAAAATATTTAATCAAATACAAATTATTTTAATCAATTAACGTAGTAATTTGAAAAAAATAATTTTATTTGTTGAAATAAACCAATGTATAATTATTTTAAAATAATATTTAGTCAAATAAGATATATCATTTAAATAATTATTATTTTAAATATTTCACATAAATAATATTCATTTACTATTTATTTGTTTTTTTAGATTAAAAATATTCATTATACTCTAAATAACTAATACTTCAATTATTCTAAAATTATTCAAAAAAATTAGACTATTGAACACAAATAGAAAATTTAATTACCTAATTTTTAAAAAGTTTTATCCCAACTATAAAATATTATAAAACTATAAAATATAAAACTATAAAATTTATAACTATAAAATATTGTTATAACTATAAAATATAAATTTGTATAATAGGCATTGTATATTTTAATTACATTAGGCTAATCTATCATTTAAATTCTTATCCTTTTTTTTTTGGATTAGAAATAAGAATATCTATTTGTGTTTTTTTTTCCAAGATGAATAACTCAGAATAGAAAATCTTGGAAATTTTATACAATATAGATATTTTTATTTTTACATATATAGATATTTATATATTATATATTATATATCTGCTAATGATCATTTCAACCTAATTATTAATTATTTTTAAAATTTGATGATTTTATTTTTTTAAAAAAATATGTGAATATAATCTCTAAAATTACATTATATATATTCTTTTATCAAAATATTAAATGTAATATGGAATGAATAAATATTTGCAAAATTAAAATAATGAATTGAAAAGTAAAATGAAAAAATATTTAATAAAATTATATATTATATCTTGTTATATTTCTAAATCATGAAAAAAATATTAATTGATATTATATCACATAACTATTATACATATATTTGGGAATATTTTTTTCATAATAAATAAATAAGTAAATATTTATATACATATTCTTATTTATACTAATGTTTTAATTTCTTGTGAAATGTTATTAGAAAATCTATTGAAATAACAGGTAAAAACAGATATTTTTTTTATCTAAATTATTTTGTTATATTTATATATATATAATTATTATATATTTTTTCATAATAGATATGATGCATATTTCTTTTTCTCAAATTATGTTTTCATATTTTTTTTTATTATTTTTCTTAAATTAAATATATACATTCTTATTTTCATAATATTAGTATATTTTTATTTTATATATTTAATAAAAAAAATTNACAATCAAAATAAGTTAGATTATTTCTTTTCAATAATAAAATATAGTCATAGATAAAATATTATCTGGATATAAGTCTTTTTTAAGAAAATATATGAATTTTTTAATAATTATTGTACAATAATAAGTATATAATTAAGTATAGTACTAGTATATAAT